ACATTTGCGTGGAGGATCTAAGAGAAACCACGAAAAATCTTTTGTGATTGTGTCCCGGCCGAGACTCGAACCGAGCACCACCTGAGTACAAGTCAGAAATATTGGTAACGCCGACAGAGCCAATTTGCTCGGTGAAACTGGTAGGGCATTGACGTGTCACATAATACATCATGATTATAAATTATTGTCTGGGTTTCCGTTTATGGGCTCAGTCAACTGGTTGCAGCTTTCTCACGCTGAAACAGTGCAACCGAACTGAGGTTTCGCCACTTCCGGCTCTTTTCTGAGAATTATCCAAGCGTCTTTCTTGCTTACCGATTTGAGGCTTTTCGCTTAGTTAACTAAATACTAAACGTAACATTTGTTTCGGTGCCTAATTCATTAAGCTGGTCGAGACCCAGACACAGGGCAGTACGGACGTGCCATGTGCACCGCTCTATGACCTGTGTCTAAAAGGCAAAGAGGAAAAACAGTGTTCAAACTGCCGTGTTTAACAGTGCTATTATTGACTTTCGTCTTGCACAGTGGCTATCGGTTGGTATTAATAAGACTTGTCTCTTTCAAAGTACTCCCCTTCACTGTCTGTACACCGCTTCCAAAGTTTTTAGTTGTGGAACGCGTCCTGGAACGCGTTTTGCGGGATAGCGGATAGGTTCCGTGGCAAAAATTTTTCTGTCTCTCCTATTGTCTTAAATCGCTACCTTTAAGAGTGGTTTTGAAATTTGGAAACAAAAAAAAAGTCTGCAAGGGCAAAATCTGGAGAGTAGGCAGGTTAGGTGATGACAATCGTCTCGTGTTTCTCCAAGAATTCACGCATGAGGAGCGACGTGTGAGCTGGTGCATTGTCGTGATGCAGAATCCAAAACTTGTTTCTCCAACCCTCATGCCTCTTCCTTCGCTCTGCCTTCCTCAATCGCTTCATATCCTCAAAATAAAACTGTCCATTGACAGTCTGACCACGTGGAACAAACTCATGATGAACGACGCCCTTCAATTAAAAAATCGTTCAACAACACCTTCTCATTTGGTCGACTCTGACGTGCTTTTATGATTGAGGTGACAATCTTCCCACCAACTGCGAAGATTGAGCTTCTGTTTCGATATCCTACTCGCACACCTACGTTTCATCACCTGTTACGACATCTTTCAGAAAGTTTTCGTCAGCATTTGAACGATCAAACAGCTCCTGACTGACCGTGACACGGTTCGCTTTTTGCTAATCTGCCAAAAGACGTGGCACAAATTTTGCAGCAACACGATACATCTCCAGTTTCTCGGGCAAAATTGTGTTGCACGAAATTTTATTAATGCCTACTTCTTCAGAAACGTCACGGAGAGTTAGGCGGCGATTTTCAGGAATCACAGCACTCACTTTCTCAACATGATCGTGCGTTGATGGGAAGGTCGTCCAGATTTGGGATTGTCTTCGGTGTACGTTCTGCCCGATTTGAAACGTTGGTACCATTCGTAACACCATGAACGGCTTAAACAATCCTCTCCATATGCTCGCTTTAACATCTGAAAAGTCTCCGTAAAAGTGTTTGCCAATTTGAAACAGAATTTCATGCAAACGCGTTGCTCTTCAAGGTCCTTCATGTTTCTACTTGCAAAGATCGCAGAAGGCACAAGAGACATGATCACTCTACCGCATGTACTCGATGACTAATTGACATTGCGTGATTGGGCAAGTGTCATATTAAAGCTTAAGGTCACCGGTACACAACGCCACTGTCGCGAGTCACCTGTGTTAGCTCGTTGGCGCCCTAATTAAGAAGTCTGTTTCTATTTTGACAGACCACGTATAACTGCTTACCTCGCGGATAAACAAAAAGAAACAGTACCTGTTTCATCCCTAACCTCATCGACCTCCGCCCTTAAAGCCAACTACACCGGCACCTGAATCAATATTTATGAACTGTCACATCAAGATCTGAGTTTAAACAAACAAATTTAATTTGCCTCACTCCGGAGTTATCAGACTTTCGGTTTCTGAAGGAACAGCCCCTTCTTACGCAACAACTATCGGTTTTTGACCAACTCAAAGGCAGGTATTTAAAAAAAGGATCTTGGATGATTACACCTGGCGGAGACAGCCATGTTTTCCGAAACGTCGGCAATTGTCCATTAAGATTAGCTATTAACTACCAAAAAGCCTGAAGAATTACTCTTGGAACTTAGCCTATATATGCTGAATGCATTATTTCTTATGAAGAGTCCAGTATTAGATACTGTTTTCTTGGGAGTCTTATTGCATGTACACCTGGCCCAGTCCACGCGCCTTGTATGACATCAGCGACACTCTATAGTGTGAATTTTCGTGTTCACTGAACTGCTCTAGCCATGTTATCAGCAAGTCATTGTTGTGCCTACATCATCTTACAGATATGAGCAACACCAGAGCCCTAGCCTTTATGTTGACGGAAGCACGAAGTTCGGTTCCCACCATGGCCGATGCAAGCGCAGGCGCACAAAGCGGTCACTTGGAACGGCAAATTTTATGATCCTATTCTTAACTTTTTGTTAAATGAAAATTAATTTCTGCTGTTCTTTCTTCTTATCAAGACCACAATTGGCAGTCAACTAAATAGTATGTTATGCAATAATGTAAATATGTGAACTCCAAGAGCTGTTGTATAATTCCGTAATCTCAGCAGACAGTAACTGAGTGGCCCCATAATTTTTATTATACTTTTAACTCTTATTTTATGCATTCCGACACCAATCGAGATTCCCATTACTGTCTTAGAATTTCGTATTATTGTGAAAATTTTCTGAAATAGTAGAGCTATTCTGAACTCCGGGTGGGGGGAACTTCTTGTCGCCTGGGACGGCATATAAACTGGCGGGGGCCCTGTTTCCTACCTCCAAGAAAACCATCTCACACAAAGATCAGCCAGTTACACGTGTAGAGGTGAAAACAATGCTTATTCTGGTAACCAGATGAAACCCTAGCTGGGTTAATGAACGTGCAGCAGATGGTAAACACAGCTAAGACCATCCATCAAATAGTTCCAAGGATGATACCACCCATGTAAATCCTGTATCCAATTGCCGCATACACTATTCATCTGATTAATGAATAAAATTCACATCAGTATTTTACATTCAGAATGCTAAATTTTGCCCCCGACAGCGCATAATATATTCTGTTCTACAAAATACCCCTTGAGTGCACGGGAGATGCAAGAAATGCGCATAAAATTTTCAGTCATAAGATCTAAAGGGAAGAGACCACGGATAGGTGAGAATGGATTTTAAAAAACAGCCCGGAGAATGTGAACTGCCTCGGCGTAGGGACCAATGGCATGCTCACGTGATTACGGTAATGTACCGTCAAGTTTCACACAAGCCAGTGAATTTCTATAAATATATATCAGCTACTACGAACACTCATCAAAGCACAGTTATGAATGAATGGGTCTAAGAACCGCAGATAACAGTGGCCGGGCCATCTAAGGCATGAACCGTCTTCGCCCGGTAGAACATTGGGGTCGTGGGTTCGAATCCCTTTCGAGGCATGGACGTCTGTTTTCGTTTATTCTGTTTTCTGTTGTTCTGTGTAGGTAGCTGATGAGCTGATCACTAGTCCAAGGAGCCCTACCGCCTGTGTATAGGATTAAGAAACTGAAAAATTGGCGAAGGCCCAAAGAGCTGTACAGCCACAGGCAGAGAGAGAAAGAGTGGGTTTAAGAATTAACCAAATCGTGTCTACCTATAATTTACTGGAGCATTCGGCGCAAAACAGAAAAAAAACTATGTCATAAGAAAGCCCACACGAAGGTAGTCTAGAAAGTGGAAACACTTTTTCAGATGTTATTACAGTGAATGCTATTTCGGATGACCCGATGTCCTGGGCACTATGAAGTTAGTATCCACAGCGTGGGCATTCTCTCTCTGTCCCAGCACACCGACCTGACTTGGCCATGAAGACCTCTCGAACTGTTGCGCGTGCCGCTTGCTACGACATACATTCCTAAGTCTTTATTTTAAATGAGCAACATGGCTTTCACTAAAGCCGTTCTGTATGCCGCTCATTCCCTGATCATATAGACTGCGAATTGCGAGTCAGCGAGATTCTCATTAAGACTGCCGTCTTCTGGGATTGTGAGGCCGTGCTGTTTGGTACATAGGTGTCAGTGTTTCGGAGGAACCTCTTGCCTCTCTTTTCAGGTTAGAATAGTCATTGTGATATCTTTAATTTAGTTTCGGATGAATTTCTAGTCTTCCATGCCTGTTGCAGAAGAGCGGGGTTTCTCACAGGTATCTGGAAACGTTTCGGGTCCTCCTTCTTCAGGGCAGAACATGGGATGTTAGCCGTGTAGTCTGTTAGATGAGTGCATGGAGAGATCTGATGCCTCCAATAGCGTTTGAGGGGAAAGTTCCTTCTCCATCTTCAGGGTTGGAATAAAAAAGTGACGCCATGTAGTTAACTAAATTACTGGACTCGAATCTAAGAAGACAATGACCTTTATTGAAAAAGGTGAAGTTGCCTGTGTCGCTATATTGACTGCGCTTCTCGGGGTCCCTCAGTATTGCTTTCAGGCCTCAGTATCCTTTTAAAAGTTCCCACCCATCTCAATATATAGGTCCATATTGAAACATTTTAAGGACAGAAAGCGTAATGATTTCTTCACAGAGGTCGTTTTATTGCTATTTACATTACATTAAAAAAAATTCCCACATCCAAATCCTAACACCCAATATTGAAGAAAAAAGCAATCTGTTCCGAATTTGTAATTTTCGTGAGAATGCTGACAGACGAATTTTTTTGTGGGGAGAAAATGATTGTTAATACAAAATCGGCCTAGGCGACAGATGCAAACAAGTTTGTCGGCTGACCATTCTGCTGAATTTAATTAGTACTACATGTACACCCGCCCGTTCAGTGCTTTCTGTCCTCCTTGTGTCGGCTGACCACGAGTGACCACCATCCCCACAAGTAGAACAAACTCTTGCATCGTTGGTAACGAAGCGCATGTGAGTAGTGGAAGTGTGTAAATTTTTGGTATGATTTAGGGAATCAGTAGGATCATTCGAGAGAAATTCAGTTTTCTCATATTTTGACAAATTATGGTGTTCGTGATATTATTCCGCTGTTGCAAGTTCTAATTGGGATTCTGGTAAACTTCGCAACGTCTGCTCTGAGGGTGATGTTTCTAGTAGAATGCACATTTTTACTGTTTTATGCCCTTTCTCGCCTGTAACATACCAATCCGACTGAAGGAAGTTGTGAGAGCTGATGGTCCATATTGAATTGGTTGGAGTTGCAGGTCACACAAATGCATTTTTTTGCACCTCTGCAATGTAAATTTGTAGAGAATATTGCTGTTTCTAGGACGGAGCTCCGTGCAGTCTGGTAACCCCTTACCGACGTTTTGGAAGCAAGAGGTTCACTCAAAATGGGTGAACTAGGTGCCTTCAAAACTGAGCAACAATCTGTTAAGACTACACAAGTTGTAATAAGACACTAAGCTTCTGCCGGCCTCTACTGTGAGAAGAAGGAAGTCCATGTCAGTGTGTGTTTGTTCACAATAATTAGTATGTTTGCTTACAGACATGGGCAAATATTCAGAGCTAGGTACAGCTACACCTGTTAGAAATATGATGCCATATCACTAGGATTATTGTAAATCAATTCAATTGCCACCCACAAATAAAATAAAGTTTCAAGGTTATGAAAGATTCTGCATTGGCTTGGAACAGGAATGCCGAGAATTCTGCTACAGAGAGCTGAAGAAACATTTCCTGCAGTGACAGAAAGGATGGTGAGTGTTTTGTGCTTGTGTACACATAGAAGAATTTTATCGTCATCAGTCAAATCTCATATTTTAAGAAACTAAACTTTTTAGTGATATGGGTATGTAAGTAAGTAAGGGGTGGGCCATAAAAACCGGCCCACACACTGTGACCTTCAATGGTCTATTGTGCTTCTCCTTGGATTAGCCCTTTATTAATCCTACGCTTTTAATAAAGTGAAGGACCCTGCTTATGGGGGCGTCATAAAAGTCACCTGAGATTTGATACAGAAGTACACCTTATATACACATACAGGCTTATAACCATAGTAACACATAACAGTATAAAGATACTGTTGTTACACACGTAACTGTAGTTGCACATAACAGTAAACATCACTTAGGTAACAAGAAATAACCTATTGATATATTGGGTTTTTGGACTTTATCCATCATCCAAGTTTTTAAGATAACAAAAACACGACGTTTCGGAAACTGGATCTGTTTCCGTCCTCAGGTGAAGGAAAACACCTATTCAGTTGGGTCCGTTAGAAAGAGCTAGCCTCAATCACTGGAGAGAAATAACCTAGTTCTTAAATTGTTTACTATGATGTTGCCAACTCTAACATTATATTTCAGTATTTGAGAGTTGCCAACTCTCAAATACAACAGTGTACTGTAGACAGTACACTGTCTTGGAAAATACATATTGAACAAATTATACCTAAACTAAATGCAGCTTGCTATGCGATGAGATCAATTAAGCCTTTTATGTCACAGGAAACACTGAAGATGGTTTACCATGCCTACTTTCATTCTATTATGAACTATGGATTAATATTTTGGGGGAACTCTTCACATAGTGTAATAATTTTTAAAATACAAAAGAATATAATTAGAATCATTACAGGATGTAGAAGTAGAGATTCATGTAGAGAATTATTTAAGAAATTAAAAATTCTACCTCTTCAATCGCAATACATATTATCGCTTCTCTTATTTGTTGTTTACAACAAAGATAAATTCAAATTAAATTCTGATGTCTATAACATGAATACTAGACAAAAATATAACTTCCACCTACCCTCATCAACTTTATCAGTATATCAAAAAGGAGTCTACTTTACTGGCATAAAAGTGTTCAACAATCTGCCACAAAGTATTAAAAACTTGGGCAATGATACTAAAAAGTTTAAATCAGAGTTAAAGAATTATCTACATGCTCATTCCTTCTACTCTTTAGATGAATACTTCAATGTAAATAGAGAATGATGTAAAATTAAGTTATATTAATTTTTAAGCTAAAATTGCCTGTACTTATGTATGTAACCTTTTGACTTGTTCTGTATCCAAAGGTACTAACCTGCTTAGGATTTATAGAATGTAAATAAATTCAATTCAATAACACAAGTGACAAAATCGTAAATGAGCCATGGCCTCACAATCACACAGGATGTGTGCGGCTGATTTGTTATCTTGTAGGCACCTTTCACAAGTTGCCCTGTCTGTCAGTCCCAACTTGAAAAGGTGTCCTTTCAGGTGGCAGTGTCCGGCAAGTAATCCTACCACCCATTTTAGTTGATCTCTGTATAATCTCAACAGATCCTGTGTTCTTCTGGCAGAGGGTCCTCCTATAAAACCCGTTGCCTGTCAGAGTCCAATTATGGATTCCCAGTATCTTTTATGATTTCTATCAGTCCAGTCCATGACCGCTTTTTTTTTTTTTGGCAACTCCAGTTGATAATGTTATATTTTAGCGTCCTGTTGCACTGATTTAAGTCCATGATTTATTTTATCCGTCTTCTAGTGCATACATTTATCTATCCCCTCTTCTCACTCTCACTACATGTTTCGGCACAAATGTGCCATCTTCAGGTGC